TATTTTCCTGTTATGAAGGTCTTTCCATGTATTCTTCTCCAAAATGTAGTCATGGTTGGCGTAGAAAATGACTTTGCTCATGTTTTTCTCAACATAGTAGTTAGGATATTTGACGTAGTCGTCAGTCATGAATCCATATGCATCCACCTGAGGAAGACAGAAAGGCAGGAAAAATAGTAGGAGAAATATATTATGATTATACGTGTGTATGTGTCTTTTTATTAAAATAAGAGGAAGGCAGGTTGAGGACAAAGTTAGAGAGGCAAAGGCTATGATGGTTGGGATCCATCAGATTCATCCCAGTTATTCTTGGATTTAAAACACCGAGAACAGTGAAAACGCTTATGTTTCATGAAGGGAAGTATGTGGTGGGTGGCACTGTATTAATCCCTATGGTTCGGACCTTTTGTTTAACTTGCAGAGTAAAAATGTACTTTTTCATGAAAGGTGTCTTTGACTCTTCATCTTATTTCTGATTCATCTGGGCTGTGTGAGAAAGATCCTGAAAGTTGACTTGCTCATTCTAGAGTTAATTGCCAGGTCAATGCTTCTAAAGCTGTGAATACCAACAATAAGCACACAAAGTTGAAGTAGTTTTAACTCACTATGTCACAGGTGTGCAGAGCCAAGAAGACAGTGAATGCCCCGTTGGTTGGTCTGACTAAAGACCAGTATGTTTTATTCAGATTAGGTGACAGTAAGAACCTGTGAGTGAAGAAGAAGCATCAATTAAGCATACACATGGGGAAAATGAGCTACACTTCTATGACAGCAGAATAGGCAACCTCCAAATCCCAAACACACTGTAAAAGAACACATGTATAGATTACTTGATGTACTTCAAGAAGACTGGAGTCCTACTGCTGAAGACCACTTAAAGGAATTACAGGAAAGTTTGTCTGAGAGAGTTCAGACTGTGTTGAAAACTAAAGGTGGTCACACCAAACATTGATTGGTTAGAATTGTACCAATATATTTTGTCTAATATATTGTATGTCTATGTATGTTTGCACATGTTTCAATAAATTGCTGCAAATATTTCCCATTTTCAAAGTAAATGGGGAAAGTACTGTATAATTACATTGTTCAAGGACTGTTCATGCTGACATTCATGTCTGAGTTACAATCTTATACTTCGCATGTTTAAACATTTTTCCACCTGGACACGTCTTAAGAAGTCAGTGGCATGGCTGTTAAAATTTAAGGACTTGCTTCTGTCCTTTGTGAAGAAAAGGAGAGAATTGTGTTCAAGCTTACCACAGTCAGAGGTCACCAAAGAGCAACAGAAATCATTTGTGGAAGAAAAGCTGAGGAACTTTAAGAGGACATCTGTGATTAAGAATCTTACAGTGGAAGATCTGGACAAAGCTGAGGTTGTCATTATCAAGTTCTGTCAGAGGAGGAGATTTTCCTTGGAGCTTGTGAGTCTGGAGAAGGGACAACCCATTATAAAATCAAGTCCTCTAAGAAGACTCTGCCCACAGCTGCAAGATGGAATTCTCAGAGTGGGTGGGAGACTCAGTAGATCATTGATGCCGGTTGAGGTGAAACATCCCATAATACTAGCAAAGGATCAACACATTTCCGAGCTCTTGCTTAGACACATACATCAGGAAGTTGGACATGGTGGTCGTAACCACATGCTGTCTAAGCTAAGAGAAAAGTACTGGTTGATTGGAGCTAGTACAGCAATAAGAAAAGTGTTATCTAAATGTGTCATCTGTCGACGTCTTAATGCTCCACCAGTGAATCAACAGATGGCGGATTTGCCCAATGAAAGAATCATTCCAGATGAACCAGTGAGTACAGCAGGGGGCTTAAAACACAGCCCTGAGGCACTCCAGTGCTGAGTGAGATGGAGGGGGAGACTTGTTTTCCCACCCTCACTGATTGGGGTCTGTCTGTGAGGAAGTTGAGGATCCACTGACACAGTGATGAGCTGAGTCCTAGATCCGTCAACTTGGTGAAAAGCTTAGAGGGAATTATTGTGTTGAATGCTGAACTGTAGTCCACGAACAGCATCCTAACATAATTCCCTCTGCCAGTGTCCAGGTGACTCAGGGATGTGTGGAGCAGGTGAGATATGGCATCGTCTGTGGAACGATTAGTCCGGTAAGCAAACTGAAGTGAGTCGATGGTGGCAGGAAGTGAAGAAGTGATGTGATCTCTCATCAGTCTTTCAAAACACTTCATCACAATTGAAGTCAGTGCTACTGGACGGTAGTCATTGTGGCAAGCGGGCTGTTGTTTCTTTGGAACAGGGACAATAATGGACTGTTTGAAGCACGTGGGAACCACAGCTTGGGCCAGGGAGAGGTTGAAGATCTCCGTGAACACCGGTGCTAGTTGATCAGCGCAGGCTCTAAGGACCCGGCCAGGGATTGCATCTGGTCCTGCTGCCTTCCTGGTGTTCACCCTCCTGAAGGTGTTCCTCACGGCATGCTCTGTGATGACGAATGCATTTTCTTCACTGGTGCACTCCGAGCGCGCGCAGCCGTTTGTTGTTTTAATTGCTGCGGCGTCGAAGCGAGCATAAAACGTGTTCAGCTCATCAGCCAGTGAAGCATCTGCATTCATCATTGAAGAAGCTGGTCGTTTATAGTCCGTTATTAATTAGTTATTAGTTAATTAGATTAGTTAACTAGATTTTAAATGTAAGCGTTTGTTTGATTGGTATATGTTCAGTTTATACCAAGCACATTTTCCTTAATGATTAATTATTTGAATAAATAAATATTTGAATTATATATTTTAACTGTATTTTACTTAAAATAATTGCTTCATGTTTTTTTATTAAGTAGTCCAGAGTTAGGTTTATATCAGCACGCCATCTTTTCTATTCATCCATTCCTAAATGCATTGACGTGCTGTTATTTCATTGGCTGTTTAAACATATCTCATAAAACTACATAGGTGTTTAAAAATCCAGTCAGAGAATAGCTCTGTCATTCTTCAGTCTGGCACACAATACTGACCCAATATCAGCTTCATAAAGACCTACCATC